TATTAATTGTTCTCTCCTAATAGTTTTATTAAGTTTACAATGTTGTACTGTATGATGAAAATAAAAATACTCTATCGGATGTGAATTGTATTAACAATGTGTTATAAAAATAAAAAAGCAATAGTCATTAATCTATTAATTAGGACATGCTCTATACATAGTTACATTGAAAAGTATTTTAATTGAATGTTGAAGTTCAAAATGCTCGTATTTCTTCGAAGAACAAAATATTGAATGATAAAATTCGTGTGAATTATCAAGTTAAAATTTCCAAAAATAGAGGATAATTATTATTTCAAACATCTATAAATTGATGTATTGATTTATATAAATTTAGAAATTTTCATAATATTTATTGATATAATAGGTCCTTTAAATACAAAGAATGTTTATGATGTACCTTGTCTAGTATGAAATTATTATATCTAAGCAAGTACTCTTCTAAAAACTTATGCTTTGTTTTTGATATTAAATTATTAAATTACTATATATATTTTAAAGCTATACAATTAGATATGTTCTCGAATGGAATATCTTAAATCAATTGAAGGGTATAAGACTATTGTGGAAATAAATGGCCATAATACTTAATTGGATTAGATGATCAAAATTTTTGATATGATAAGGTTTGATGGTATTTTTATCAACCAACTATTCATAAGCCATGATAGAGTTGAATATAATAAATGAATTTTGCTTGATAGTGAATTCTCCTCCAATTATAAAGAATATAATGCATTCACCATAAAAAAAGATGATTGGTGTGACGATTATTTTTTACACCCTAAACAATTAACTAAATTTTAGATATAACCAGAATGTAATTTAAATCCTTTAGTAAAAGATATAAAATAAATTCTTAATATACAACAAATATCATGGAGTTTAATGCACTTGTCTCCCATATTTATTTCTTTAAATTATGTACTTGCGTTTCAACCCTATTTTTCATAAAGATCAGGAAAGTTGAATTTTTTTAGTCTTGAATTTGAGAAACTCTTTTAATCCACTACCAAATTTACGTGTATCTTGTAACAATACATAGTTCATGAGTACTGTTATGATGAGAATATCACTAAAAAGATACATGAGTATGGCTTTAGATTTTGGATATCCGTCTCTCGATACTTTGCTTGATATAGTTGCAAGTGAGTACCAAATTATAACA